TGAAAGAGACTGTAAAATACATGCAGCTAAAAGCACTTCTCAGCTGTTCATGCTGACATTAAACCATGGCTCTGATAATCTAGAAACCCAAGCAAGTTCAGAAATCAGTCCTATTTTGCTTTGAAATACCTTTTCCAGAGGATTCATCTTCCTCATTAGTCTTGAGCAGGAAACTACAATGGTTTTGTTTCCTTATAGCATACAAAGGGATGAGACATGCTGGGTAACAAAGCCAGCAGTTAATAGAAAATTTAAAGCAGAGACTCCACAAAATAAATGCTATACATATGACTGCAGATTGAAATCTCATTTTACTACACAGACAAATCACTCTGCTAGGATACAGCTTTGTAATAAGCACACCACTAACACATTTCCAGGATTTAGAATGTGAAGAGGAAAGAGGGCTTATTCCTGACTCTCATCTGGAAGTTCCAAGAGGACAGAGCCTTGCATGCCGTAGCCACCATTATATCTCCAGAACCTGGTACAGGGCCCGCCAGAGTCTGCCCCCAACAAATAAATGTTGAAGGAATGAAGGAAAATAATAGTAGGGTAATTAACAAATGAAACATCCCCAACCCGGTGGCAGAAGCGAGATCTCATCCATCGTCACACCTACCCATTTCCTATGTGAAGTCCTCAGGAAGCCTTTTCTGTCACCTACCACCTCCATCCACGGCTGGATTAGGTCCCCTTGTCATGAATTTTCACTGCAGGCAGGAGCTGTGTGTGCCACACACATGAGGATTTGTGTCTACTTCCAGCCTTGGATTCCACACTCCTTCACAGAAGGGGCCATGTGAATTTGAGGGGCACTGTAAAGCTCCTCCAACTTTTTATTTTGAAAAACTTCAAGCACAGAAAAATTGAAAGATTGTTCAGATGCCCTTGACTCAATCAATAATTTTTAATATCTGGAGCCCTGTAAACTTTCTTCAGTGTTATATCCCCAGAAGAGCTATAGGTAATACTGGGGTTTTGTTTTCCTTGCCTGGAGTACAAGGTCACCTTTACTGAGTAGGGTCAGCCCAGGCAGGGCATTTCAAAGGGAAACAAAGGACAACTACCACTTGCTAGGAAGAGAGTGCAGCAACAATCTTCTCAAGGGCTTGCAATTGCTCTGAGATAGCTGCCTCAGGTCAAACCCAGCTAACTTTGTAGGGCAAAGTTAGCCCCTGCAAGTTTTTCCATTAGGGAGAATGATTCTTACCTGGATGACCAGTGGAGAAACCAACACTTTGTGGGACTGGATCAAGCTAGGATCAAACAGACTGTCCTTTCTGGGGACCAGCACTTGCAGTATGGACTCCAAAACACAATAGTGAAAGAAGCAGCTCAGTGTAAGAGATAGCACGGGATTTTGCTCAGTGGTTCTGCTGCTGCCTGCCTCGCAACTGCAAGGACCTGAGTTGTACCCCCCACCCCACCGCACCAAAAAAAATTAGCAGATATGGCTTTTAGAGCCTGTCGTGTGCCTTGTAAGGTTACCTGGAATGAGTCATGTAACCTCTCAGACTATATATTAATAGCAGTCCAACCCACCTTAGAGGCAGTAAGCAGGTGGCAGGGCACCCTCATGCTCTTCAGTAGTTCTCTACCTTACAGTGCCTATAGTATGTTTCTCCAACTAGACTGGAAGCTTAAAAGCTATGAACTAAGTCCATCATTTTTTTGTATAGTTGATGTTATGGCTTGTATCTAGATGTTCCCCAAAGTCTCATGCAGTCATAGGTGGGGCTTTTCAGTGGTGGCTGGATCTAGTGTGTGTGATGCTGGGATTAAGGATGCTGTGATTGATTCATGGTGTAATGCTAGGACTGAGGGTGCCCTGTCATGGGTGTGAGTGCTACTTGCCCTAAGGGTGGGTAGCCTGGATAAAATATAAGGGACAGAAAGGGAGCTGCTATTGTCACTTGCTGCTCACTACTTTACTTCCTTCCTGCCTTCTGCTTGCCATGAACTGCTTCTCCTCTGATGCCCCCTGGGCCAAGCCACCCTGTCTTGGAGCCAGCTGGTTGCAAACTGAAACATCTACAAACCGTGAGCTAAAATAAATCTCTCCTCCTTTAACTTTGGGTGTTGGGTATTTTGTCTCAGAGATGAGTCGACAAGGGCTAACCATAGTGCTGGACACATCTGTCAAACAAATACCCATGGACACTGTAATAAAATAGGGCTGTCATACAGAATCCTTTGTGGTGTTCACTCAAATGGGATGGAAGTGAATTATGCACACAAGAATTGAACTTCCGGGCCGGGGATTTAACTCAGTGGTTCCACCGCCTGCCTCACAAGTGCAAGAACCCAAGTTCAATCCCTGGTACCAGAAAAAAAATTTGAACTTCCAAGTTGCATTCATCCCCAAATATAGGCCCTACCCAACAATTCTTGGGCATGTTTAACCATGAAGGATATTTAACCACAGTTACTCTCAACCACCACACACACAAACACACACACACACACACACACACACACACACACACACACACACGGATACTAAAGAATTCTTAGGGCCGGGGATTTAGCTCAGTGGTGCCGCCACCTGCCTCACAAGCACAAGGTTCTAAATTCAATCCCTGATACAAAAAAAAAAAAATCCTAAACTAGCTACACTTAGGCTTATTCACAAATTTCTTTCCAAACCCTAGATATATGTTCCTTGGAAGAAATAAGCAGCAAGGTCTCTGGAGTCAATTCCATCTTCCTCTAGTAAATTACAACTTCTTGCAGACACAAAAGAGAACAGAGAGACAAATGACACATAAATAAGAGCTTCACTGGCTTGGGGGGAGGGAGGCATGGAGAGTGACGTCAGTTTTCCCAGAAACCCATTTATCACGATAACAAGGTCTCAAGTGCTTGGGCTGCTCTTTCAGCTTCAGAATCTGGCATACAATTATGTTCTTCAGTGTACAGATGGCAAAGCCAGCCAGAGCCTACTGGAGCCATGTAAAGCAAACCAAGAGGCCTTCAACCACCCCCAGCCCCCATCTTCAGAACAAAAGGGATCTCTGGATTGTCAAAATTGTGCCTAAGGGGAAACAATCTTCTGGCATGTTCCCCTTGGCAACATCTGTCCTGCAATCCTAATCTAGGCAATGGAGACTGATGAGACTGTATGGACAGGTAGATGCAAATTCATTATCTGATGAAAAAAATCATGAGTGTCATTTTTGGTCACTACAGAGAGCAAGGTTAATCCAGGAGACCATTTCCTACACTGAAGCTATGCCATCTAAAAAATGTAGGTAACGAGTAACAGAAGCGTTCTGGAAAGACCTCAAAACACAACAGCAATAAATACCACAGTGCCAATCTTAGGAGTGAAGAGAATTCTCTCATATTTCATCATCACAGGGCACTGGCTCCTATCTACCACTCGTCCTTCCATACTGCATAAACAGCTCTGTGCTAGGGTGTGCAGCTGCTGGGGAAGGTTCCAAAGAAATGATCCTGACCTTCCAGACTGGGACAGGATATGGAATAAAATCTTCTATCCTATAGAGAAAATACTGTCAGACCCTAGATTCAGATCTTGAAAACAAATCAATTTCAAGTACACCAAATACCTACAGGCTGTTTTGTTTTGTTGTTGTTTTTGTTGTTTTTCTTTCTTTCTTTCTTTCTTTCTTTCTTTCTTTCTTTCTTTCTTTCTTTCTTTCTTTTTCTTTCTTGTTTTCTTTCTTTTTTTTTTTTTTTTGCACAGGAACTGCACTGCATGGACTATTTCTCTAAATAAGTACAAGGTTTAACATTATTTTTGTGGCTCACAAATTTTCATGAAGCAGTATTTGGTGTCACAGGATTTAACCTACTCCTACCTCACTCTCCTGTCTTAACTTAGGGTACTGGTGGACTTACTGAAATCCCAGATGCCCGTGGATGAATAAAAAGCTAGATTGTTCCTCAAATGGAATTTTCTCTTTGCAAACCAAACTTCTGGTCTGAGAAAACAAACATGGAACCTCAGGTTACTTCGACATAATTTATCTGCACATCCCAGGCTGGAAAACTTAGTTTTTCAAAAATGAATATATTTTTTCCCAGAGTGGTCACCAACAGAAAGAGACTGTTAAGTCCCACTTTTATTTTCCCCATAGAAAGAAGCCAGCTCCACAGGTTTTGGCACACAAGCCCACTTACACTGAACATACCCTTGAGACAGACCCCCAGAGGTCCGCTCAGAAACAGGAGAATCGAACTCCACACAGACGCACAAATGGGACCACACAGAGGCATTCAGATGCGCCCATACACACCACAGCGGTGAGCACACCCTCATCTAGGGTCACAGACAGAACCTGGGCACCACTGCCGCCCGCCAAGGGAAGGCACGAGGGCGCACGCGTGCACATATACACGCGCACACACTGATAGACACACAGACGCAGACACATATGTAATGCATATGGAGAAACCCTACTCCAGCCAGTCACCTCCCCGCCCCCCTCACTCCCTCTACCTTCAGCCCCAGGCTAAGCCTAGCCCGGCGCCCCTCTTCCCTAGCAAGCCGGAGTCCCAGCCGGCAGCTGTGCGCAGGGGCTCTGCAAGGCAAGGGGGCCAGGGACCCGGGGGTGGGGGTGGGGG